CCAGGGAGGATGGAACGATAGGCAGAGTTCCTCATGGGTGTTACGGGGTCAATGTGGAGGGAGGAACGTTTTTAACAACCCCACTCAGGCACAAAATCAAAGGTTTTCTGAATACGTCGCGTTGTTTTGTTCATGTCAAAAGATCCACATTAAAAAACACAAGCAGAATTCTTGTTTCATGTTACGCAAGTTCCTAGTTTGTGGATTTTGTTTACTGACAATAGCAATAAAACTGACTCTGATTCTGAAATATAGCGTACATTCCTAAAAAAAAAAGTTGCTCAAATCAGCTGGAAAAACCTGAGCTTGCCTCTTCACAGATCTGACCTGTAACTTGGCCTGCTTGAGTTAAATGCAGATGGCAAATCACTCTCCAGAAAAGTTTAATCTAACCACAGCTGTGATTATTTTTCTTTGGTTGAGTATGGAGACAGATCATCCTTTTGAGCTTGTCTAGAATGTAAACATAAAAAATCCTTTGCAGTGACATTGCGCTGGGGGTGTGTTTCTGTGTATCTATGGCAGAATATACATCAGTTACCATGGTGACACATTGTGCATATTAGCAATAACTACCAAAAAAGTTTTTAGATTTTTTGATTTAGATGACATATTTTCAGGAGATCTGTGATCAATACAAGGGTTCATGTTCCTTTTTAGGAGTTTGAAAACTGTTGGAGAATGCGAGTAGCTTGTTACTGTAATTTTAGGTGTGAGAGAAAATACTGGCTCGAGTGTCCCCCTGGCTTGAAAGTCCCAGCTCGAGCTTCCCATTCTCTCGGCGGGAACGTCCCCCTCCTCCCTCCGGGCGCTCCATTCTCTTGGGCGGCACACGGGTAACTGCTGTGCCCGAGAGAGGGGGGACGATCTCACCGCTGTGTCACGCACTGTGATATCTTCAGTTAGAAAATCATCTTCTATATCATAATAAAATTTAATGTGATTGTAGCGAGATGAAAATTTCGGGCCTTGTTTCTGTCATTTTATCAATTTTCCCAAAGTGGAACACATTTTTTCAGTTTGTAATATCAATATAATCCTCAATTGCTCTCAGAACTTTACTATGAAATCGTATTTTAAATCATGTTTTCTTGGTCCCCATGTCCTATAATACTTGTAATTGTTGATTTTGGGAAGAAATATGATTTTTTTCCTAATCTGCTTACCATGAACATGATCAACTCATGTCAGGTGTCATGTCATGCAAAAGCAGGGTGCTCATTGTTCCCAAATCTGAATACTTGTTTATCCTCAACATGAACAAATGTGTTGAGATATACTGTAACTTATGTGTTTGTAATTAATGCAATATATATAATGAAAAAAAAAAAGTTTTTTTTAATGTATATAGATTAACTAACTTATAGGGAGCAGAAACAGCTAAAAAAAGACAGAGGGAACTACATTGACCATGATCCTTTGCTCCATATTAGTGCAGACTACAAGAAGAAATAACAGTTCTAACACTTTTACGTCTTAGTTTTTTGGATTAAGTCTTGTCAAGGCATTTTAAGAGGAAAAAGTAGAATATTAACAGTTTGGTGCACAGCCTCCACAAAATATCGCAATAAATATCGTACCGTGAGGTTCATACCGTAACAATATCGTATTGTGAGACTTGGATATCATTACACCCCTACTAACTTAGTTTCATAAAGGGTTCAAATCAGCTCCCTGTTGTAGCTCTCTCTAACTCATCTCATCCTGGTCAGATTGTGTTCAAACATAACTAAACCAAAGTCTAACTTGAGTTCATCATTGAGAGCGTCAAACAGAGCAGTGCTTCCAGGTAGCATCACACCCCCGGGGAATCTCGATGACATCAGCTGCGAAGTATCATGTACCTGTAACTTCCACCGTGTTAAGTTTGTGAAAATACCAGTGAAACCAAAACACTGAGTCACCGAGCGCACACTGGCGTAGCCCCGTCCCTCCTCCTCCCCCTCGGCCTGAACAAAGCCTGACTCCTCTTTTGTGGTTCAACACAAACTTCAAAGCCGCTGGAGTTTAGCCGGACTTCGGGGGGTGATGTCATTTTCCCATCTTGCCCCCGTCCCCCTCCGGCTTCGCTTGTTTTGACAAAAGAGATGCCCGCCAATTATCCAGGCTTCACTCTCACAAAACCCACTGGAAGTTTACATTTCTGCCGTAATTTATTCTTTTGACTTGTTATCAAAACGTGTCTGTCAAGCTGTAATCTGCTGTAAAAGTTTCATTGACTTGTCCATTGTCAAAATTTAACGCCGATTCGCAATAATTATTACAATTTCATCAACGTATTGTTCAGTATATGAAAGTTGTTGCGCTGTGTAACATTTCTGGTGGAAAGTGGAAGGTTATTGCTTTGTCTGGAATGTTCCGCACTATGATATTCAACTTTATTCATGGAGACGAGCGTGTGATGCCAGAAAACCATGTTACAAGTTACAAGTCAGATCTGTGGAGAGGCAAACTGTAAATTTCTCTGATCTGGCCAAGATTTTAAAACTTAAATCAGGTTACTCATCTTGTTTTCAGATTTATTTTCTACTTACTAGTTCTGAAACTGCTTAATTCTAGTCTTGAGTTTATTTTATTTAATTATTTTGCTGCATGGACAGATAATTTCACTACTTTTAAGTCATTTTCTGATAGATTTAAGTGTAATTTTAGGCAAACTTTTTTCCAGTGCAACATCGCTCGCAAGAAGTAATGCATGTTTTCAGGATTTTTTAAACAGTAAAAACACATGTAATTGAATAAAGGATTCAGAATGGTGAAAAATTACGAGTTACCATGAGTGCTTAGCAATTTAATCAGATGTCAAACAAGATTTATTTTATTTTAGAGAAGTGATTTGACATTTTGTTGCGTGAAACATATTAAATTGCTTGAATTCGTTGAAGATTTGGTTTCTCTGGATTTTACTTTTAGTGTTTAATGAAATAAATTGACAGCAGAGGCGGCGCTACCATTAGGCAAATGTAGACGGCTGCCTAGGGCCCCCAAACCTGGAGGGGCCCCCGACCAATTGCCCTCAATGCCACTAAAGGCCGAGGCCCCAGAGCAATTTAATTTTCTCTCAATATGACATTAAATTAGAGTAGTAACAAAAATGTAATTGTACCAGCAAAAAAAAAAGCTCTGTTTACCTAGTAGGCGAGTAGTTTTCAATCCACCATAATTCAAATAAATAAAGATGTGCACGTCTCAAGAACAATGAGGAAAAAACAGACAATAAACGAATGCATTATTTTGTGCATTATAGTGAGGGCCCCAAACCTAAGTTCGACTCGGGCCCCCAAATTGCCAACTCCGCCACAGATTGACAGATGTGGTCTTTCTGTTAATAAGAAATGTATGGCTGATATTTTTGCTTAAAGACGCACTGCACAACCTTTCCGGATCAGGGTTTGCTACCTACTTGTCTCCATGGAGATATTATTGCTTTGCCTGGAATGTTTCATAGTATGACGTGATTAAACATATCCATCTTGCATTATGAGTGTTTCTATTGCTCAAAAATAAATACTATAATTCCTTGTCCACAGGCCTGATTTGTAATATAGCGTAGTACTTGTCTCCCTCATGATAGAAAGGTTTAAAGTATACTGTGGAACTTTTTAGACAACGCAATATCATTTTCTTGGAGAGCAGGTAGGAGACCGTCTTTAATTTCAAGACAAAAACTGTTAGGCTAGATTACAAGGGAACCGCAGTTTGCTATTTTAATGAGTGTGTTCAGGCGTCAGTCCGTCCACTTTATCTGTGTGAAACCAGCGCTGTTTTATTATTAACTTTGCTCTGAATCAGACAGACTAACGCTGGTATTTTTATCACTAAATACACACGAGCTGATGTTGGCAGTGTCCCGACTGCTGAGGTCATGTGGTCACCTTTTTTAAACACACTCTAAATGCAATGGGTGCTACTAAAGGGACAATATTACACTATTTTTTGATCTTTTATAATGTTTACTCGTCAAAAACAGACCTGGAGTTGTCTTTTGTTTCATTCATGCGTAAATATTTAACACACAAACCCTGCAGATTTAGGCTGAGTTCTTCTCTCTCTTTTCCACCCTGTGATGTCATGTTGTAAGACAGGAAGTGCTCTACTGTATTCAGTGGCAGAGTTTGCAATTTGATGGCCCTAGGCGAACTTGATGCACTGTTTTGTTTTGTGTGTCTTTTTTTGTTAATATATGTTGTCTGTTTTCCCCATTGTTCTTGAGACATGCACATCTCTATTTATTTGGATTATGGTGGATTGGAAACTTGTCTTGTTAGTTCGGTCGCCTACTAGAAAACCAGAGCTGAAAGTTGTTTTATTTTTTTCCTAGTACAATTACATTTTTGTTTACATCCATTACATATGAGCATTATTATTTTTCTTATGATTCTTGTTTAAAAGTAAACTACTCTCATTTAATGTCATATTGAGAGAAAATCAAATTGCTCTGGGGCCTCGGCGGTTAGTGGCACTGAGGGCAATTGGTTGGGGGCCCCTTCAGAGCTGGGGCCCCTTGGCAGCTGCCTACTTTTGCCTAATAGTAGCGCTGCCTCTGACTGTGTTTTTCAACTCCATACACTTTCAGAAGAATAATTTCGGGTGGCAGTAACTCACTTGGCAACGTGTTTGTCCACTGATCTGTAGGTTGGCGGTTCAAATCAAACATTGGTAAACATCATTGGTCGAACAGTCAGATCCACGTACCAGCTCCCACAGATGAATACTGATGTTGCGTCCTTGGGCAAGACACTTAACTCATCTTTACTGCAGTGTCTGTATGTGTGTGTGAAAGTGTCTTGAGTGCCTTGAAGGTGGAAAAGCGTCATTTAAATAAACTGGCTTGACTTGACAACTAAAAAAAAACATTACTTTGCTGAAAACACCTTTGGAAAATTGTGAATTTCTGGATTACATGTAAATTTTTTAAGATATGGATTGTTTAAAAATGTAGCTGTGCCTTTTCTGTAGTGTTTTACATTTGTCTAACCGTCTCTTTCTCGTCTCTCTAGGCCTATGGCTGGGCTCTGGCAGGTATGCGTCACTTAGCTGGCGTCACCATGGAGGACTGCTCTCTGCCCGAGAAATGCCCAGTCGTGATCAGCTGTTTGGAAGAATACAATCGCCTCCACCCGCCCATCCCCGACTCCCACTTCCAGGAAATGAGAGTTTTGGCCGGGGAACTTCGAGGGGAACGCGGCCTCAGACAGTGGAGCTTCGCGTGGGCCAAGTGTCAAGAAACTAAAAAAATGTTCGATCGTAAAATGGAAGCAGCTTTGCGGACAAGAGACTCCAACCAGCGACGCAGATCCGACTCTGAGCAAAGCAAAAGTTCTTCCAGTTTTTCCAGAAAGTCTTTGTCTGGGTTTTGGGGTACGAAGGACTCCTCTCAAATGTCCCCGAATCAGAACGATGAAACCGCCAGTACTTGCTCATCGTCTACTCCATCACCTCCGAGAAATTTAAACTCTCCTTTCACATCCACCCCTCAACACACACCGCTTCTGCAAAGACTATTCCGAAGTCCTTCCAATTTGGATGAAAGTAAAGATTCAGTTGAATCCCCGTCTTCGCCAGCGTCAAGTCTACCGCGTCTAGACTCCACAGCTAGTTTTAATTCCACATTAACATCTCCGTCAGTCTGCTCTTCTTCTTCTTTTACTCCCCTCGGCAGAAGACAGCAGCTGCGGAAGACCCAAAGTTTTGACTGTCCACCCACTCCAGACCCAACACGCTACGGCGCCACTCCCAGGTATGGATGTCAAAACACATTGTTCAAGTCGCAATATAAGAACCAAAGAAATAATAATAATCACAACCATTAGGTAGCATCATTTGCCCAACTTTTAAAAAAATTTTTGAAAATCAATCTGTACCTTGTATAAATTTTTTACACTTGCCAAAGTAAACTTCCATGAAAAATTTCATGAAATTCTATTGATGTTTACTGGGTCCACCAAGCCTCTGAAGTGTAGTGTCTGCAGAAGCCTTAAATCTGAGCTGAAAAATCAGTTTTTCTTTAATAACATCCTTATCCTTTCTGGAAACTTGGGTTTACTAAACCCATTGGGATGCTCTGGGTGATGTCACACTCGCTTACTCCACTTTTTTATACAGTCTATGATCACTACAGAAAGAACAAACTTTGTCTCTCATTTCATCTTTGGCCTTTGTGGATATTGGATAATTATGAAAAACCACTCAAATTCTTGACAAAATTGTCATATCTTAGAAAGTTATGAAGATAAAGATATAAAATTGGTACCGAAAGATGAACAAGAGCAACATTTATATTCAACTTAAAATTCAACAAAAAATAAGAAAAACTTCCCCGTCTAGTGTAAAGAAAATTATGGAGACTGAAAAAATATTGTTTTCATCTATCATATACTGAATGATTAGTCAAGTAGTACCGTAATTTTCGGACTGTAAATCGCTCCAGAGTATAAGTTGCACCAGCCAAAAAATGCATAATGAAGAAGAAAAAAACATATATAAATCGCACTTTTGGGGGAAATTTCTTTTATATAATCCAAGACCAGGAACTGACATTTCATCTTGAAAGGCAAGTTATAGAAATAACAATCAAACAGAGAACAACAGACTGTTAACGTCACATATGAACAGTTCTTCAGATAAATATAACATAAACAACAGAACAAGTTTAACAAACTCTCCATCTCACTCCAAATCACTAAATCCATTGAATTCTTCATCCTCAGTGTCACTTCTGAGCAACTCCATGACCTCCGGAGGTAAACGGAGCGTCACTTCCTCTTCTGTGTAGCTGTTGTCAGATTCAGCATCAGTTCAAGTTAGAATTATTCCGGCCTTTCTGAATCCCGACAGGATGGTTTTGGTGTCACTGAAGTTCAGGCTTTGTCGATCCATCCAATGACTTCCAGGAAAGTTGCATGGCGCACCTTCCCTGTTACCGTGAAGCTGTGTTCTCCATCCACGCTTTCAGCCAGTCTGTCACAAATTTCTCACTCACTCCAAACTTTTTTTCTGCTACTCGATTACCGCTTTCGGCTGAATATTTCACTACTTGCAGCAGGACAGATGCTCTTTCTGCCGCACTGGAGTAAAAGTTGTAGGACCACCCAAACCATGAAAAAAGAAAAAAAAAATACTGTAGTAATTATTGTGACAGGCCTAGGTGTCAATAATCCTGAAAAATTATTAGATCTTGTTTTTTTTTCATGTAATAATCACCACATTAATCAATGACAATCTGATATTGTCCCAGGACCCTGAGTGAACCAGCGCGGAGGGGGAACACGGGGGTCTTCATAAAGGGGCTGGAGGTGTCGAGCACAGAGGCAGCTGACCGCACGCTCTGCCCCAGGACGGGAGCTCAGAGCTGGGCCGGACACGCCACCAGGAGCCCCAGCACCCAGAGCATCAACAGCGTGAGCTCCACAGCAGAGCAGAGGCCCCGGGGGAGGTGGGTGGTTTGTTTTTGAGTTCTGTGTTTTGTATCTACAGCACGTCTATTGTCTTGAGTCGATACTGACCACATTTAATATCTCGGTGTGTTTTTGGAGAGACCTGATAGGGATTTTCAGACGGCGTCAAAGCCCCAGTACGTAACTTTTTAGCTGAAAACAGAGCAGACTTAAGTAATTTACTTTACCCAATGGGCAACTCTGTTTTCTAACGCGGAAGTCAGTGGATTTGTTTCTTTAATTAGGTCGTTTTGGGTGAATATTGTGATTGAAAATGTCCAAATTTCCTCTTCTCTGTAGTAAACTGCGTCACATCGTGGAGGAGATGGTGACCACAGAGCGGGAGTACGTGCGCTCGCTCCGGTACATCATCCATCACTACTTTCCGGAGATGGAGCGTCCGGACCTGCCCCAGGACCTGAGGGGGAAACGCTCTGTGGTGTTTGGGAATCTGGAGAAACTTCTGGACTTCCACAGCCAGTTCTTCCTCAAAGAGCTGGAGGCCTGCTGGAAACACCCGCTCAGAGTCCCACACTGCTTCCTCAGACATGTAAGACGACAGATACGAATGACAAATATGCATGTGGTTCATTTGAGTAATTCAAATATTTTAGTTTTTGAGGCTGTCACAAAATCCTTCAACTCAATACAAAGGTCAGTTTTATTTATAAAGTGCCTTTACAACAACCTATGATGCCCAAATCAATCATTACAAGAAAGAGAAATATCAAGGAATACAAGTACAAAGAGAAATAAAATAATAATAATGCATTAGTCTTATACAGAACTTTTCCACACACTCAAAGTTGTTTTTCAATTTTGTACAGTATTCATTCACTCCATATTCTGCGGTGGTAAGATATTCAGACATCACATACCAGGCAATACTATTCAGAGCTCTTTTTCAGGTTAAAATATGTCCTTCCTAAATTAAATGAGTTTTAGGATTTTTTTTAGGATAAAAAAGTGCTTTGTTTTTCACTACACACACAAGTTGTATTGACAAGATGGTGAAAGGTTATATTACATAAAACTGACTTTTGTGAGTTTTAAGTCACGTTATAATGTTGTCACCTCCTCAAAAACTTACCTGGAGTTGCGTTTTGTTTCATTCACGCATTTATTATTAGTCTGTCTATATTTCCAAAGCTCAAAATGCTCTGTTTCAACTTGTGATGTCATGAAGTGGTAGCTCCTTTTACCTTTAGTTGAGTAGAGATTGACAATTTCAGGGCTGAAATCATCCAAATGATTCTAGTGAAGGCTTGTGGAGTTGAAAAACACATTTATACTAGGCAATGTGGGTGAAGTGTCTTGCCGAAGGACACAGTGACAGTTTTTGTCATTGCCACTGTGGCACCTGGTGTTCCCAGCGGTCTTCCATCCAAGTACTAACCAAGCCTAGTCCTGCTTACCTTATATGAATTGACGAAATCAGGCTTTGACAAGGAGGTATGACCACAAAACATAGAATATTCATGCTTAAGGCCAATTTACGGTCCAGCGTCAAATCGTCTGTGTCACGACGCAGAGAGACTGCGTCGATGTGCACCTCCTACGCAGAGCCTCTGCGTCGACTGACGTGCACCTCTGAAATTTTCTAACTATGCGTCAAAACGCCGCAGACCGCAGGGGAAGCGACGCAGACGATAAGAGCTGTGATTGGTCCTCCATACCACCGCTCTGTTTACATTTCCTGTCGGATTTTCTTTCTTTCAATATATATTGACAAATAATGCGTTTAATGCAGCTTTGCGCATATGTGTTTATGTTTTACAGAAACGAAACTTAAAACTGCATGTCTAACTTGCATAAACAAAGCGCTCATAAAACAGCTCGCTCCTGGTAGCGGTCAGCTTCTCTCGGACTTAAAAAGGACACGACTCAGTGGAATATGAATGTTCTTTCTGTGACAGAGTCACATTGTACTAATGTTGAGTCTGTTCTGTGCTTTTATCGTGTTAGAGATGGTTCATGTTAAACTTTTCAGAGATTATACGTCTGCGGGTCATACACACAGACCGTATATATGAATGGACATATATCGTCGCCCCCTAGCGTTTTGGCAGTGAATTACTTCGCGGTGCACAGACCTCGACATTGATCCATAAATCAAAAACGACGGCGACAAGGCGACGGCGACAGTGCGCGTTGAGTCGACGCAGAACTATATTTCATCCTTAAGAGAGATGTTAGACCTTCTTCCAGGCTTTGTCTTGTGTGAATGGACCCAATTATTGCAGAGAGGCTCGATTTTACACTATAGGGATTCCTGCAGCCTATCACGGGTTTCACTTTCCTGTTTATTGTTTATACATGATATTTTGAGGACTTTTGCCAGTTCAGAAGATATAATACTTTGTTCTGAATTGTAATTGGTAATTGCTATGCAGTGCTGGATTTTCAACTCTCTCTGAAACTCCTGGATAGCTGGCATATGCTTTTTATCATTAAATCTTCAAATTTTTATTGGAGTTTTCTCGACCAGCGTGTAAGAAAATAAAATAATAAGTCAGTTGTTAATAAACCAAATTATTACTAACCAAAAGATAGAAACCACCACCACTGAAATACCTGGTTATTTGTGTTGTACATACTCACACGTGTTCTCTCTTGTGTTCTAACAGCAGGAGCAGTTCGGCCTCTACGCCCTCTACAGCAAAAACAAGCCCAAGTCTGACGCTCTCCTGTCCCACCACGGAAACGCCTTCTTCAGGGTGAGACTCTACTCTTTCAGCCTCTCTGACCCCTCCCTGGTCCCACTGACACCGCGCGACCTCTGACCCCGGGCGTTTGGCGTTTTGGTTTCCACATTCCACACATATTTAAACAAACACACACACACACACAGAGCCTCGTAACAGCGCCTTTGTGTGCGGTTTTCAATGGTTTGTTTAGACCAGCCGTGTTCCCACCACTTGACATTTCAATACTATTCAGAGCTCTTTTTCAGGTTAAAATATGTCCTTCCTAAATGAAAGGAATTTGGGGATTTTAACATAAATAAAAGTAGATTGTGTCATTATGCAAACAAGTTGGTTAAAGATCCTAGATTATACAAAACTGACTCTTGTGAGCTTTAAGTTATGCTATAGTGATGTTAACTCCTCAAAAACAGACCTGGAGTTGTGTTTTGTTTCATTCACACGTTTGAGTAACTCTTATCGGGTTGTGTACACCTTGTGATGTCATCTAGTGGTAGTTTTCAGGTTAACGCTACTGATTCATCAGCCGCTTTCACTATGTGAAAGCCGTCTGACCTCACAGCATTAGGATTCGTTCGCTCGACTGTAGGCTCATAATTTTTTTAAAATTTAACCAATCACTGCTATTTGGTCGTGACGTATGTAATGCGTCGCTAACGGGGCTAACTGGTATATTAAGCTTTTCCCAAATTCCGTAGGAAGAAGAGAAATGACGTCTTTCCCCTTGATAAAATTCACCAAACATTCTCTTTGTTCTGGCTTTAAATCCTTGATTTCGGGAATCATTACAACAGAGAATGTATGACTCTTCGCTGATTGGCTGGTGCCAGAACTCGCACTTCCGGGGTTTTTGCAAACAGTCTAGTGTATTCTGATTCCTGACCTAGTCGCTGCAGAGAAATGAAAATGAGCGGTGGCACTAGGTGGCGCCAGCCTGGCTAAATGCAAGGAGCAGCAACTTGTATGTATGTTTCATAAATAATGTTTCGTCTTTCTCCCCGCAGAGGAAGCAGGTGGAGCTGGGAGATAAGATGGACCTGTCGTCGTACCTGCTCAAACCCATTCAGAGGATGAGTAAATACGCCCTGCTGCTGTCCGATCTCATAAAGGAAGTGGGCGTGTCCCAGTCGCAGGAGGCGGAGCTCGCCACGCTGCACGCCGCCACAAACATGGTCAAGTTCCAGCTGCGCCACGGCAATGACCTTCTGGCCATGGACGCCATTCGAGACTGCGACGTAAGATCTAGATAAGAAATAAAAGTCCTATATTAAGGGAAACTGATTGGACATGATTTCATTTTGGTTTGTAGTAAAACTTTTATGCCGTCATTGGGTTCAGTGCCTTTTGTTTGTCTTCACAGGTGAACCTAAAGGAGCAGGGTCAGCTGATTCGTCAGGATGAGTTCACGGTCTGGAGCGGGAGGAGGAAATGTCAGCGTCACGTGTTTCTGTTCGAGGACTTGGTTCTGTTCAGTAAACCCAAACGCATGGAGGGAGGCCTGGACGTATTCATCTACAAACACTCCTTTAAGGTAATGTTAAAGCTGCACTGTGTAACTGTCTCCAGTTACACAGTCATTGCTTTGCCGGGAATGTTCCATGGTATGATTTTAAATATTCAAATGGAACAGGAAAGTCACACCAAAGCTCTTGTAGAGGTGTACATGCAAGGTAGTCTGATTCATCAGCCTGACCACTAAACATTTTGTTTGTTCCGTCTTTAAATCCTCAATCTCGGGAATCGTTGCCAACACAGAATGTATGACTCTTCGCTGATTGGCTGGGGCCTGAACTCACAATTCTGGGGTTCTTGCAAAACCGTCCAGTCTATTCCAATTCCTGACCTAGTCTGGAGAAATGAAATTGAGCAGAGGCACTAGGTGGCGCCAGCCTGGCTAAATGCAAGGAGCAGCAACTTGAAAGCGAAAAAAATGTCCAAAAACACTTTTTTTCATAAATAATATTTTGGCAAAAAGCCTTCACCAGGTCATTTTTTTCTTGCTTTGGACAACAGTACACAAAATAGTTGCCAGTCCAGGTGTTCATATTCCCCTCCAATGAATGGGAGGTCTCACAGTCAGATCAGCCCACTCTACAACAAGAAAAAACAATCAGATATTTACATAAAAAACATTTTCATTAAGTAAAAAAATAGTTTGACCATGTCACAAAAAGCATCTAAAATCAAAGTCCATATTCAGTCCATGAGGAGCAAGAGTATTAAGTTGGTGAATCCAGAAGTGCTCTCTTTTTGACAGGTGCATTTCTAGATTTCCACCTCTAGGGGGCAGTTTTACATGTTCAATGCCTGTATCTTAAGGAGGAGATACAACGGTTGAACTCTACAGAATGAGCTGAAAATGAGCCCAACTTTTTGGACATGGACCAAATGACTTTTATCATTTCCATTCAACGTTTATTCATTCATAAGTGTTTCTATTGCTCAAAAACTGAGTAATTCCTTCTGTGAGTAGGGGCGACTCTCCACAGATCTGATTTGTAGTGTAGTGTAGTGTAGTGCTGTAAACCCCATGTCTCCTTTGTGGGTGTGTGGGTTTAATCTATACTGTGGAACATTCTAGACAAAGTAATTACTATGGAGACAATGATTGTTGATCCCCAT